AGTTAATATCCCGAATTTTAAATTTTAGAAATAAGATAGCCTTATGAAAGTTTACCTAAAATCATAAATAGAATTCAAAACCGTCATGGGATACAGGGTGTTCCATTTAATGCCGTTATTTTAATTAAGAAGATAGAACCCAATAACGCTATATTTTAAATTTTTAAAATTTAAATCGAAGTAGTTTCCAAAATATTTTAATGGGTGATCACCAGGAGACACCCTGTATATCAAACGAGCAAAATTAGAAAATTACAAATAAAATGTGGCGCAAAAATAGAAATCAATTGTACTTAAATAAAAAATCTTGTAAATTAGATTTAAATGTGCAAAAAAAGTTTAAGGGAACTGATATCCTGCACTAAATCATCAACAGTCGTGGTTGATGCGTTTAGATTCCAAAGTTGATAAATTAAATCTAATTAAATAAATTAGTAATATTAGAGCGATTTTTCACAAAGCCATGCAGTTTATTGATAATGCGACATATGGTGAAAAAGGCACCATGAGCCGAGCGAAAAAAAAAAATAATGATTTCAGTAACAATTTCGTTTTTAACATTTAGCGGCATGTAGGAAGTAGATTTTGAATGTGACCAACTGTATATTCATATATCAATGGATGATATTAAGGGATTCAAAAGGACGAGTTCTCATGCAGTTATTGTAGTTTTTTTAATCACCAGAGATGTGATTTATTTGAAATACTAGCATTTAAAATACCTGTTTTTATCTTGCATTGAAATAGTTTTTTGAGAAAAGCATTTTGTATTTTATTTAAAATACTTTTCCAAACGCACTTTCTATTTGTAAAAGGCAAAATACATTTTTGCCGTTAAAAGTTTTGCTAGTATCACCGATCAAACATTATATAAAATGATGAATGAATGTTTATCACATTGGCTATTGAAGGTATTACAAGCTTAAAAAGGGGACAAAGAGACATTCCACGAATGTCTTTTAATTCTTTAACTGAAGAGAGACCAAAAAATTCGAAACTTCTTGGAAATGGATAATTTAAAATACTGGATTGATATTGTTTTCCGGGTTCGATGTCATAGTCCACGGAATTTTGAAGTTCTAAATTGATATTAGCACCTGCTAAATCACCACTTATCCTATCTTTAACAAGAAACTACGAAATTCCATGAATTACGAATTACGACAAACTAGCTCACAAAACAATATCGAACTGAAAACTACAAGATATTGTGGTGTGCTAATAAATGCATATTACCTATCCAAAATTCTTAGAAAACGATTCGAGAAACTTCGCTCATTAGGTGAACCCAAAGCTAAAGAAACTGGATTCCATTTCTTTCTCTTATTATAATGTGTAAAAGATTGGAAACAAAATGGGGTTGTAAATATTTTGATATAAAATGATTGATGTTGATTTTACATCAATAAAATTATATGTAACCCTATTTTGGCTCTGATCTTGCATGGTAAACAAACTATTTTGGCATCAATGTCATCAGGGTGACAAAGGTAAATAAGCAAGCATACAGAAATAATACTATAACATAAAAAGATAGAAAAACTATAGGTACCTCAATCAGTTTAAACGGAAAAATTTGAATTATACTCCATCTTCGCAGCTATAATGCAAATACCACTATTAGTCTAGAAAAACTCCAAAAAACTTTAAAAAATGAACAAATGCCTGCAAGGTTTTGTTAAAAAATATTTTATATTTAAGTGAATGTANATATTTTGGAGTTAAAATGGGGAGTAAAAAGTTCAAGTCTTATTTTAGATGTCGCTACTTAGGGCAACCACCTCGATTTTACGCAAGTCGAAGTTTAGCGCGCGCGTTGTGTTATCAATCAATACGTTTGAAATGTGACGTCACACGTAGTTCGAACTCCATTGGCCGGCATCTATGTTATCTTGTTATTTATTGAAGCTGCATGAATGAATTTTTCCAAACTGTGATATCAAGCCGAGTTCGGCAAAAGACTTTTCGAAATATTTTTGCAACGATATTTTTTCAATTTTGTTATCGCGTAACCGCTGAAAATAAGTGACGAATTCGTGGGTGTTTTTTTTTTCGCGAAAAGATGGACTATGTCGCGGTGTTATGCATCGTTTTCAGTTCGTTTTACGGCTAGCTAGCCCACTGTGTGGTATTGTCTATTAAGTAAGGCTCGTAAATGGAAAAAATGGATAATTATGTGATATTTAGGCCAAAGATTAGCATGCTTAGATTTGCAGATGAAATAGCAGTATTAGATAGGGGCGTACGCAAAACTTTCGTTAGGGGTGGAAGGGGGGGGGGTTAAAAGATAATTTATGGAAGCAGCATTCTTTTGATCATGTTTATTTTTGTATATAAACTGGATCTAAATATTGTCAAAGTGTAAATTTATACTTCATAAAATGTTTGTACATATTGTGCAGAAAATTTCTAATAAGTGAAACTTTTTTACTCACGATAGGGTAGGTTCGATTCATGCGAGTTGCTATGTAACGAAATCATGCAACGCATTTCCCCCGCTGTCTGTCGCTATGTATGCTTAGATCTTTAAAACTACGCAACAGATTTTAATGCGTGTTTTTTTTAATAGATAGAGTAATTCAAGAGGAAGATTTATATGTATAATACATGCATAATATAGTAGAGAAACACTGATAATTTTAAAGGTTTGTAATGTGATGTCGTAAATAAAAACATTTTTTTGCGCTTACATTGCAAACGCTGGCTGAACCCTACGAGATAGATCAAAATAATATACTACAGTATTGTACACCTTAAAAAGGTCTACAAAAAAGTCCGGAATAGTATATGTCTATCTCTTAGGGATAACCCACAATAACCATTTTTTATCCTTTACTTTTTACGAGAAATAATGGCTTATTTACGAAGCGATTTTAAGCAATACAGCATTAATCCTTATCCAATTAATTACTTTTCAATATATTGTGCATTTAATATAGATCAGTATGACCCTTTACAGCATGTAATTTAAACGAATATTTTCGAAGATATTACAGACTTAAAATATCCACCACGAAAATAGGAAGTACAATAGATGCAGTTTTGTGAGATATTTAGATAGATTACAATCAAAAATTTATATTTCTTATTTTAGTTATCATAAGCCTATTGTATCATACTTGGAGAATGAGTCTGAAGATATCAGTAATGTAAATTGATAAAAAATTTGAAAAAAATTAAATTCATAGTGTACAAATAATACCATTAAACCAATTCCTTAACCACTATCCCGGTATGTTTGTGTGTTTGAAGAAGTTTCACTTTCTCTACATATTTCTAAAAACAAATATTATGACTTATTATATTAACTTTCTCATCTTTAAATAGATCCTTCCTGATCGTTATCGCTACCACTTGTTTCTATTATGGTGTTGCCATTTCTTGCGTAAGGTATTCTTAAAGTTGGGACGTTCAAAATTCGCATCGTCTGCAATAAAACTGTACCATTTATTTTATCCTTTGAACCTACTAACTAGACTTGAGCGGTTGCTGATAGAACGTCTACTTTTACTCACGACAGACGTTATAGCGAATATCGTAAATATAGAAAAGAGATGTCAAGTAGGAATTGCAGCGGACACTAATAAAGTAAAAGGAATAACATTACACCAATTAATGTGTAATAGAAAGAGATACAGACAAGTAGAATTTGAGGAAAGGTATAATTCCAACCAGGCAGTTATAAAGCCGACCCTGATCTTTTGCCTACCTAAGCAACCTCTAACCGCTGCACCGCTTACTTTTATTAGATTATCTTTTTTTACTTTGTACTACTCATGAAGCATTTTCTGACTTAACAAGGGCGTGTTCTAAAAGCAGCAAATGACTAAAGTCCCAAGCGGACTTTATCAATTTTGCCATAAACGCGAGCCAGAAGCCAATTACAGCCAAAAATCATCACTCAGTCCACCCATAACAACAGGAATCCCAGAATTAATATAACTATTCTTTGTTGAAAATAGTGATTGAACCGTTTACTGTTCAGATTTTTTATTTTTCTGTTAAATCATTGTACCTTAATTTCGGGGGGGTGTTTTAACCCAATTACCCCCCCCCCTCTTAGGTACAAGCCTGGTATTAGCATCTAGCAAGAGGAGATAGCATTAAATAAAATCGAAGCGGTATTGATAAAACAGTATTGTATGAAAATAAGCAAAAGTAAAATAAAAATACTGACTTGCAAGGGAAGAAAGAGAAGGGAGTAGATTAATAGTGAATATAAAGATAGAAGATGAAAAATTAGAAGAAGTGACTTCCGATATCTAGAAAGTCGGATAACTCAGGACGGAAGGAGTAGTAGAGATATAAAAGAGGGGATAGCGCAGGGTCGAGTTGCCTTCAACAAAAAGAAGTCACTTCCATGCTTGCGAACGGTTAATTTAGAAATCTAAAAAAAGGTATATGTTTGGAGTACGGTTCTGTATGGGTGTGAAAGGTGGATGGTGGATGCGGCGGAAAAGAAAAGGTTAGAAGAGTTAGAGGCGAATGATGAGAATACCGTGAACAGAGAAAATTAGAAAAGAGGAGGTACTAGAAAGAGTTGGAGAAGAGAGAGCGCTATGGAAGTCAATAATAAATAGGCACTTCTCAGGCATGAAGGACTAGTTAGAGACATATTGGAAGCAGAAACAGGAGTTAAGAGGGGTAGAGGTACTGTTAGATTAGATTACCATTCACAGATAGTTAAGGATATGGTTTTATGGAAATGCGAAGATTAGCTCAGGATAGGAAAATGAGAAGATGCGTGTCACTAACGACTTTATGATGATGATGATGATGTTATGGTTATGATAGATAAAATGAGTTTCGGAACTGGGAGATTTAATAACGCCCTATATTTTGGAGTTAAAATGGGGAGTAAAAAGTTCAAGTCTTATTTTAGATGTCGCTACTTAGGGCAACCACCTCGATTTTACGCAAGTCGAAGTTTAGCGCGCGCGTTGTGTTATCAATCAATACGTTTGAAATGTGACGTCACACGTAGTTCGAACTCCATTGGCCGGCATCTATGTTATCTTGTTATTTATTGAAGCTGCATGAATGAATTTTTCCAAACTGTGATATCAAGCCGAGTTCGGCAAAAGACTTTTCGAAATATTTTTGCAACGATATTTTTTCAATTTTGTTATCGCGTAACCGCTGAAAATAAGTGACGAATTCGTGGGTGTTTTTTTTTTTCGTGAAAAGATGGACTATGTCGCGGTGTTATGCATCGTTTTCAGTTCGTTTTACGGCTAGCTAGCCCGTGATATGTTGACCTGGGCTTAGGATGGAGGACGGCCCAGATTTGTCGCATCTCACTCCAGAAGAACGGGCCATCATCGAATCCGTGATGGTCCGACAAAAACAGGAGGAAGAAAGGGAAAAAGAAATCATGAGGTGAGTTTTTCTTCGATTCCTAATTGGATGCGCCACCAATTATCTTATTATCTACTGTTTTTGGTATTTTGATGTGTTAAATTATATTTTTGCGTATCACTTTTTTGTTAGTTATTGAAATAAATCGGGACATCCTTGCTGACGCTTATTCGGTTATTATTAGAGCACACTAACGATTGAATTACTTGATGATGGTGACAGCGACTAACGAGTATGTAAGAGCTTAGATAATATTAGAATTACTCTAATAACATTTGTTTAATAATTTGCTGTACTGTCTACTTTCTAATCCTGAACACTAAATAATTGAAATTATCTTATAAATGTTTCACTTAGATTTACAAACAAACCTATGTAGGTACTTACCGTGAGCTTTATAATATTGCCAAAAGGAAGCTTAAAGATTCACAGTACGTACATACATGGTATTAACTATTGTATAATAGTCCAATCCTTTTTCCGCAGCAAATACATAAATACATATTAAAATAGGTAATTTAAGCAGTTATCATTACATAAATTGAAAACAAATCAATAAAGAACGGAAAGAAAAATTTTAAGTTCTACATTCTTTATTTGGAATAATAGTTTATACATAAATTAAAATCAATAATTAAAAATAACCTCGCTTTTCTTCATACATTTCCTTTTTTCTTTTTCCATTTCCCTTTTTAAAAGAAATCTCTTTCGTATCTTTATAAATCTTCCTGTTCCATAAAAATTAACGCGAAAGGCCGACCGTTCTGTGTATACTACCCGCGTATAACAAAGAAAAACCTTCAAACCCTTTTCAGAGTGACTTCATTTGCTTTAATGTATGTATGCAAGGCATACAACTTCAAGCTGAGAAGTCGCTTCTCGCTTCTGAACTTTATTTGTTCAAAAAACCTTTGCCAAGAATTTAAATAAACCGAGAAAAAAGGAAACCGTGTCTTACTTTCCACAATAATGTTACAAGATGGTCTTACTACAACTACTACCCCTATTTACCACCTGTCTAACATTTATTCATAGGTCAGAGGTAAAGTAAATGTGATTTAATCACGTTGATATTTAACGTGTAACAAACGAGGAAAATGGAAAAGTCAAACGTATGCTTTCGCTTATTTCTTAAATCTTCTTTTTAATAAAGTGCTAATGAAAACAGAGCCATTAGAGTAAATTTTTATAATGACCAAAAAAAAAATATAATTTTCGAGTAATTTAGGAGCCCTTAAGGTAAAATACCTTATCTGCATATATTTTAAACAGGAGAAAAGCGACCGAGGTCCAACTTCTTGAGGAAACGATCAGAGCAAGAAACGAGCAATTCAAGAAAGCTGGCAACGAACTGGACGCTACTTGTCAAATTTGCCTTAAGACTAAGTTTGCTGACGGAGTTGGCCACTTGTGCAATTATTGCAACATCCGATGCTGTGCCCGATGTGGCGGAAAGGTTACATTGCGATCGAACAAGGTAGGAATTAAAAAAAAATCAAATGAAATGGCTTCTATCTGCAGTTTCTAACAAATATCCACTTAACTCATTTAATATAAAATTAAAACCATGTATATTTTTTTCGGATTTAATTTTATTTGTTAAATTCCATCAACTTATTGATATATTTACATATGTATAATAATATAAGATTAATCTTTTATTTTTGTGTATTTTTTGCAAATACTAAGTATATGTATAAAAAAATTTAACCGGACGCTTTGGGTGAGAAAATTCGTCAATCCACAGGTGTCCTTCCTGATTTTGATGATTTTATCGTATGAGTATTATTTATGAACAACTAGATTTTAATTCGGTTTGTGTTATCAGACAGCATTCGAAAATTTTAATTCTTTTTTTTTTGCGAGAAGTGTACAAACAGATTTCTATTTATAGTATTTCTAATTTAATATGCAAATATGATCAAATATGAATTACTGTTTCACGTAGGTATAGTCGAGAGAAGTAAAGAATTATGTAACTTGTTCCAATACAGGAATATTATTTGAGCATGTAGTCATAATTTTGGCGAAATTATCTAAAAGCGATTTGATCTGTTTTTGGATCTGCTCTCATTGAGGGGTATGTGGGCAGCTGTTCATTGTTGAGGAGTTTCGCGTGGGAACAGCTGACGTCACTTTACCGGACGTGACGTGGTATATCGATTTATCCGTACTCTTTGCCCAGAGCGCAACAGCGACGAGGGCTCCACCAACAGATCTAAATCGGAAATGGTATATAAAAATGTTGTGATAAAAGTTAAACGTAATTATAAAAAAAATTGTGTGGGGCATTTAGTGTATTCTGTATACTAATTAGAAGCATATGCGGATTCAAGGGAGGGCTCTAAGGGAATATAATCCCACTTGTATCAAAATAAAATTGCTGAATATTACGGATATTAAACGAACAGGCTGATGGAATACTGTCATAGTGCCTGAAAACTCTTACTAATAACGTAGCATATAAGATAAACAGAAATACGTATAAAGGAACAGAAAAGTCATTAAAGTGTTGCTAATTAGTCACAGTGGTATGAAGTATAAAGTAGTTTTAAATTTGCCATAAAGAATCGAGTTTGATAATATTGAAGAAACGTCCGAATTCTTTTAAAAACAACTCGTAATTAATCATATTATTACAAATTGTTGGTGGAAATTTTTAAACTTAATCGACCTGTTGTAATCTGTGTTATAGTGTTTTTCAAAATTTGTATATTGAAATAATTGTTACTCACTTGGGCGTCTTGTATATTTACTAGGAAATACCAACTACTCCCGTTGCAAAATAAATTTGTATTGGGTCACCCCTCAAATGTATAGATTTGCCCTTGTTCAGACGGGTAGCTTTCAGATTGTATTTCTGCATCCTTTTTTAATTCACAGAGGCTTTTGTTATTGGTGTTTTTTATTTATTGACAAACAATTAGTTATCATTCGGAAACGTTCTCGAACCTTCCAGAAAATTCTAAAACTTTTTCGAACTCTGTAGATGTAGCGTATTTAGGAAAAATCTGTGATGTTCTGTCAGAAGTCGGACTAATTAAAAGCTATATGCTGACTCTACACGGAGTCCTTTGGGGCGGTAGTCTTCTCACCCCCAAATTTTTGACACCATGCAACATATGTATATAAAGAAGAAATACTATCAATTAAAGAAAAGCGGAAATAAGTAATAACAATGAATCAAGTAATCTGTTTATCTGTTTTACTACTCCTAGTCCCTTTAAATTCTCAGACAAGGCACATGGTACAAAGTACGTAGGCGTTAAACAAGAAGAAGTTGTAATTCACAGAATCACCGAAATTGTGACGCGTATTTTTACGAAGTAGGAAAGTTTTCTTTTTTGGGATTCGGTGACGTACATCGGTACATTTTTGTGTTATGTTGCTTGGACTATAACGACCTTCGTCCTTATCATAAATTTATAAAGTTAACTGTCACTAGGGTTCGACCATGACCATCTATTTTTGTTTTATTGACTATAAATGAAATATCGTTTTTACGGTTAAATACGAGGCAGTTGCTTTCCACAGATTTTTATCAGAAGAAAAATCTTGGTGTTGTTGTATATCAAAACGGTAGTCTTAGTAGTAGTTTAAATATCAAGGGATTGATGCATTTCTACGTTTAACATCACTGGTTCAGGGGGGAGGGGTAGTTGTCTCCCTCCCTTGGTACGACCATTTATACTGCCTGTAATATACACATTTACTTGATGTGGAGTATCATAAATGAGATTTTTACTTAGAGTGCAAAGATATTGTTTTCATAATTTTGAATAGCATACTACAGAGATATTAAAACAGCTCAGACTTTTAAAAATTATTTTTACAAACATCACTCTGAATGGGGACGATTGCGATACAAAATACCATGCTAAATTATTGTTAATGTAATGAAATTAAGAAATTGTGCTAAATAGTGCACTTGATTATTTGATATCGTAACGGAACATTTGGCGCGTGAGTCAAGCTGGCACTTGACTAATTTTTTTGTTTTTCTGATTCTTTAAAAATCAATTATTATTAGGGACTTCCCGAAGGAGGAAAAACAAGATTAGCGGAATCATTTCGGTTATTTTTTAGTTTTTTTTTTACACAAATCGTTAATTGTGTCATTGTCCGATGTTGATCATATGTCGAAAGATGGGCTCCTACATAATGAAGATATTTTAAACAAAATTGTTTTGTTAACTTCCCAGTATGATAATCGAAAAAATTCCCTAGGAAAAAAAGCCCCGGAAAAAGCCCCCGGGAAAAATGTTTTCTAATTTATATTTAAAATTCATACATATTGCCACTGACAATGAAATAAATGAACAGATTGTTCGTTATACAATTTAATAGAAATAAGAATAGATGGAGTAGATAATTAGTTACAACGTTATCTGCCGTTTAAAATTGTAATATTAGTAGAAAACTAACTTTTGTTTGTGAAGTATTGATATTCTTAGAGGTAATCAATAAATACTTCTTGGGAAGTCAACCTCGAACATAATATTGTCGTTACACATATTAACAAAAATAAAACAAATCAAGTAGGTAATTAACTAGAACTCATGCTGTCTATTCAACGTTATCAGCATCAAGGAAGATAATAATTTTTATTTTTCAAATTATATGACTTTTAGAATAAATTTTGGGTGATTTTTTTCCAAAGCAGCATTTTTTCAGGGCGCTTTTTTTCCTATGGGATTTTTTCCGGGGATTTTCTTCCGGGACTTTTTTTTCCTGAGGGTTTTTCCTAGTTCCTTCCAGTATATAGGAAAGTTATTGGGGTGGGTGTGTGTGTGCGCGACATAAATGCTATATCGTGGTGTTTTATGGATAAGTTAAAGAGATTTTAAGAAAATATGTAAGGTACCAACGTTTTCGTAAGCATAAGGGGGGAGGTAAGAGCTTTGCTTACTTTTGCTGACAAGGGGGGGTTAAAATGACTAAAATTTAGTTTACGTAATACTTGAATAGCCTCTAAAAGTCGAGTCACTTGTATGCAAAAGAAACTTTGTAGATTTGTAAATTACAAGAAAATAATTAATTTCAACTCAAAATGTGTTAAATAAATAAATAAATAAATTGTATTGTAGTACGGTAACTCACATTACCGTTGAATTGCAATCAGATTAACTAATGGCCATAAATTAATTAATTAATTTCCATAATGTATAAATTATATATTTATTAATATTTAGTTTTTGAAGTTATTTTAATTTTAAGTAAAAATAATTCAATTTATTTTAATTAGATTATGCATTTTCTTTTTGTATTGTTATTATTTATGTTATATATACTGTATTACTTGTTATTTTTGTATTGTTACGCCAAAGAAGTATAATTTTTTACTTGCGTACATAAGTAGGTACAAACACACACACACACATTTTCTTTTTTTTTTTGAATTCATAACTGTAAACTCGTTAATGAAACATAATATTTGTCATATATTCACAAGAATATTGTATTAAAATCAAAGTTAATTCTTTAAATTGTTAAATGAATTTAACTTTGCCAATAGACCGAGTAGTTGTTTTTTCTAGGTTTTTTATTCTATTTAATAAGAGCGACGTTTCGACTGGTTGTCAGCCATCACCAGGCTGAAGTTATAAAATTTGTCATCTCTGATATCATTCAGATGTAAAAACATCTTCGCTACCATCGCCTTTAACCATGGAAGATTTGTTTACATTTCGTTGACATGAATTCGACGTGGAAACAGCCCGTATTTCCCTCAATAGAAATAAATTATATCATTGACTAGTTTTGGCTTCATAACATATTAATAAATTAGTTTAATAACAGTTTGACGAACACAAATAAATAAGAACAAAACGACAGTCAAAATTGTTAAACGGTTTTGGATTCTACTTATGATTAAAAGTAGATTTTCATAAGGCTTTTCTACTTCTAAAATTTATCGTTCTCGTGGTATTCATTTTTTTTTTTAAAAAGTAGTACAGAGCAGTAAGTAGCGAAAGAGCATGCCTATTTTACAATAATATGAATCAGCTATACCCTTAAACTTAATTTCAAGCATAATTTCAAAATGAGTTAATTACATACAGGGTGTTAGATATTTAATAGCGGATTTCGTTAACTTCAAACAATTATATGTCCAAATGGAACACCCTGTAGGAAGTGCTACGTAGATGCCGTTATTTTAATACCCAATAACGCTATTGTACAAATTTTTAAATTTTAAATCGAAGTAGTTGTAGTTTCCGAAATATTCTAATGTGTGGTCATCGTAAAACACTCTATATACGGATGCTTTTTACTACATTGGTTTTCAGTATTTTGGTAATTATGAAATAAATTATATATTTTGCTATGGTGAATCTTGCGAGTCGGGAAAATGTTCAAAGCGGGTCATTCGGCCCCGCGGACCGCAAATTGGCTACCCCTAGGTTTTATATTCTGCTGTGGATTTTCTTCCAAAATGGAAGGAAACAAGTTTCATACAAGTGAAGCATTACTTGA